CACTCACCTCAGCCTCTCAAAGGCGCGGGATTACAGGCTGAGCCACTGAGCCCGGCTTCTGGTATCTTTTAAGTGATACCTTTATTTGGGTGAATGGTTTGGTATATCAGTAACTTAGAATTATCCAGTATTTAAAGTATCACCTTTTGAGACATTTCCTATATTTTAGATCCATACATTGTTTATAAACAAAAACAAAACAGAATAGTATTTAGAAAATCTTGTTTCTGTACAGGAGAACATAAACCTGTTAATTTTCTGAATGTATTTATTTATTTGTTTATTTATGGATAGGTTCTTAGACTGTCACCCAGGCTGGACTGCAGTGGCCCAGTCATAGTTCACTGCAGCCTAAGACTTCTGGGCTGAAGCAGTACTCCTGCCTCAGCCTCCCATGTAGCTGGAATTTACAGTCATGTACCACCTTAGCCAGCTGATACTTTAATTTTTTGGAGAGATGAGGTCTCACTATGTTGCCTATTCTGGTGTTGAACTCCTGACCTCAAGTGAGCCTTCCACCTTGGTCTCCCAAAGCACTGGGTTCATAGGTGTGAGCCTCCACGTCCAGCTCTTCGAAATTTTTGGAGACCCTAAGTTGAGGATTGTGAATCTTGTGGGTCAAGTCTGATGAACAAATTTTATTTCAGTTGAAGGAAAGAAGGTGATTCTGTTGTTTAAAAAAAAAAGGCTTACAAGTTTGTTTTGAAAAATTATTTTAGTTAGTTTCTTTTCAGCTTTCCTGAGGAATAAATGTGCAGATTAATGTTTTTGGTTGCATTACAAAGATAAACATCTTTTTTTTTTTTTGAGTTGGAGTCTCACTCTGTCGCCCAGACTGGAGTGCAGTGGCCGCTCCGGCCACCGCAGCCTCGACCTGCTGGGCTTCGGCAATCCTTCCACCTCAGCCTTCCAAGCAGCTGGAACTACAGGTGCGCGCTACCACGCCCGGCTAGTTTTTGATTTATTGTAGAGATGAGGTCTCACCAAGTTGCCAAGGCGGGTCTCGAACACGCTGGCTCAGGCAATCCACTCACCTCGGCCTCCCAAAGCATGGGATTACAGGCTGAGCCACCGAGCCCGGCTTAAACATCTTATTTGAAAGTCAATTTTTATTTATCTTTTATATTTCAGGTGACTTTTTTTTCTATTTAGTTATTTTAAATATGTCTGCCACGCCACAAAACTTTAATTTGCAGGACTTTAGCACGTTTTCTTTCTACTGGAGGACTCTGATCAGTTCTAACCAGAAATAGCATGTATGCATGTTTTATTCTTATAGTTGTATAGGCCTTTTCTATAACACTGTAATTAAAGGTGTCTTATATTCTAAACTATTTCTTGGAGGGAGCTTATAAGCTCCTCACGTTATCTGTACCTGTTGAATTTTATTTTTTGATTCCGTGAATTTTGGTTATAGAAAGAGCAATGATTCTTTGTTGTTAATTGGGAACATTGATGTAAAATTATATGACTTCTAAAGGTAGTTTTTTTTTTAATGCTCTTTCTGAATTTTGTTAACTGGTTTTAGTTTTGTAATAGTATGTAATTCGAGGAATAATTTTCACAATTTTCTTTTTTTGTATGCCTTTGTCCTTATATATAATTTTTTCCTAAATATTTAAAGTAAAAAGATGTGAATATTTTTTTCTTCACATTAGAACCCCAAACAACGTTTCTGCCTTTAAGTTTAGTAGCAACATCAGGGACAGATACAGAGTGTCCTTGCTCTCTGAGAAATTTCTTCTTTAATTAATTCACTTAACTGATTCTGATTTCTCACAAGTATTTCCATATTGACATTTTCCATTACATGTAGCTTTGTGCATTTCCCCCTTTGTTATTCTCGAATGTTATCATTGCACGGAATAGATGTTGGTAACTACTCATAGCAGTGGTGCATGCTGGTCACATTGTCTTTCTCCTATATTACCTCTTACACATCCATTTCCTCCTATTCCTATTGACTAACTGTGCTGCCCTCCCACTCCCCAACCATCCAGGCTCTCTGCTGCCAGTGACTGCTGTCAACGTGGTGGAAACCAGTGGAACACAAGGGCCTTGCCCCAACCCCAGGCTGCACATAGAAACTACACTGACTTTGTCCATGAGCACAATGTGAAGAATGCAGGAGTCCGTCATGATGTTCATTTTCCTGGCCATGCAGCCATGACTGAGATATGAGTGTTGAGCCTCTTAGGATTTGGGACTCTTTGTCGTGCAAGTTGATGGTGTACATTATCTGGTCTTATAAAGGATTGATCACACTAAGGGAGTATTTGGGAGAATTTATATTTATCTTGGGGAGTATTAGTTGTTGAGTGTCGTTTGTAATTCTTCCACAAAAGGGAAAAGGAATTTAAGAAGCTACATGCCATCAATGATAATGACGAATGTTTTTGTGCTGAAAAGAGTGTATATACTCTTGTGATTTTGGAAAGGTTTTTCATGATTTTAGCATGTTAATACATCACTCAGAATATCTCAGAAGAAGATCTGTGTTTGTGAACAAGGTGCCCATTAAATGCCATCCAAAGAGATTGGGGTTCAAAGAATCAAAGATGGCATCCAAACAGATTGGGGTTCAAAGAATCAGACACACTGAAAGCGCACTGGAAACATGTCCAGGCATGATGTGACGGCCTTTTGTGATTATTTTTATAGAACTTGTTCTTATATACTAATTTCTAATTAAAAACACATTTACCTTTTAATAAACACAAATATTTTAAATTACTGAAAGGTCTAAAAATCACATTAATTCATGTAGAAAAAGAAATCTGAATGGTTACTTTTGAATGATTAAATTGTTAACCAGTGGTTAACTGAATGATTACATTACTACTGAATGGTTATATGAAATGGAAAATGTATTTACTTTTGTCTTTTTACTTTATTTTTTTTTCTCTTTCATCTCATAACCCTGAAAGATCACCAAGTTTTGCAACAGTCTCATAACTTGGCTTTGTACAACCTTTAAAATAAAATTCTGAAGCCAAAACTGTATCATTTTTAGATAGATTGGATATGTATTACAATTTTT